TTTAATGTTTTGACTAAAGGTCGACCGTTCTAGTAATAGGCTGACAATGATTAAAATTGCAGACACTTTACTACAGACGTCACATCAATCAATTCACAAAGATCTTCGAATCTGGTGTGAGACAACGTCGATTTCATGAGCTTCGGACGAGCCTGAAAGAACCTCGGATTGGGTAGTGCCTCGTCTTTGAGGAAGTGCTTCAGGCCGAGGCTTATTAATGCGAAAGCATCTGTTGCTGGGTTAAGGACCTCAGCCCACTTCCTTACTTGGACTTCTTATCTATTGGCCCTCCTCTTGACTCCTTGTTGACCGTCGGGGGATAACAAATGTAACCATATTCAAAAGGATCAAAACTTAAATATTAGATTAAACATTAAACATGCAAATGAAAAAAAAAAATGACTGCAAAACTAGAGTTGTTTGATTATGGAAGTAACAATTCTAACCTATTAACATAAATTAAACCCAAAACCTCGAAGATGCAAACGAAAAAATTGTCCACATTAGGGACAATGAAATGCAGCAAAAAGAGTTTACATATATAGATTTATGTTTTAATTAAAAATAGTAGATATTATTATCATATTTATTTATTTTTCACAAACGCACACTTAGTTATTATTTTTGAAATGTTATTTATAAGTATTTGGAGTTGAAGACAACTTGTTTGAACTTTATTGCTAATTATATGTACATATTTATTTGTTCGATTTATATCAATTATTAATGCATTCATTTACATTTAACGCATATATGTTTAATTAATATATTCAATTATCACAATAATAATCGTAATTATAGCTGCACTTAGAAAAAAAAAAAGTTGCATTTAGTATATTTTGTGAGAAAATAATTAAAATAAATGATTATAAATTTCCTATTATGTAACTCGAGCGTGATATTGCTTTGGTATTGTCAATATAATTTTTATTTTAATTTCCAAGACTACCAATCAAAAGAAAGAGATACGAGGCCTTCACCTTGATGTTATATCTATCATCTAATGGCTGATGCTCAACAACATTTTGATATGCCACACTTCTCATATTTGCAGCCATTGTTTCCATTTTCCTTGCAAGTCTTCTTGTTGTCCCACTGCCTCGACAGTGATGGTGGTAAAGTCTTCGATGGTTAACATTAGTTCGGAGGAGCTCTTCTTCATAGACCTATCTTAGTCTTCTTGAGCAAGACTCATCATTACTAGGTTTGATACCTTGGCTACAATTCTTCCAAAATTTTAGTACAGATTTTGCAATAGATTAAGGGGAAAATATTTACTAAAGAGTTTGCACAATTCATTAAACTTTTTTTTTTCAAGAAAAAAACTAAAATTTTGAATTGATGTTTTTTTTCTTTGATCCAAAATGTAGATAAATCACAATACAGTTGCATCGTTGTTTTCCCCACATAAAATGGATAAACTTAGGTATGATGCATATAAAATGCCCATCTTTCTTTTCTTTAGCAAAGACAAACTCGCCATAAATTGCCTTTTTGATTATTCTTGATTTCACTTCATGGTTTCTCTTCTTTTCCCTACTGCTACCACCTTTCAACAAGATTCTAAACCCATGTTTTTTTTCACCCAAGAGACTTAAACTAATCTTACAAGGAGTTTTTTAGTCCGGTTGTAGAAAAAATTCAATCAAATGAAATGCATTTCTTGATGGCATTTTGGAGAACTTGATAAAAAAGACCTTTAACTTGGAGTGCTCATTGTTCCAATTTCCTATTTTCCAAGGTTCACATAGAGTAAGTGGGGAATTGTCAAAAGTGGAAAAGTGGAGTGTTTTAGGGACTGTTCTATTTGTGTTTCAGTTTTGTGTTTTGAATTTTGAATTCATTTTGTATTTTGTGTTTTGAGTGTCTGTTTTGAAATTGTTGAAAATGCGTTCTTTTTGTCATTTTGGACTGTTTCTTGAAACATAAAAATAGAAAACACGTTTACTTTGAAATTTTGAGAATTTTTTTTAATAATATTTTATTCAAGAAATCTGATTATTCAATAAATTTTAATAGTTTAATGTTAGTATAGTATTAAATAACATATAAATTTTGAAATTGGTGAATCTTGAACTATTTTTTTCCAGTAAATTAAATTTGGTAAGTCCTTGTTTTTGTCCTTGTACGTAACTTGTGACAAGAATTAACTAGCATCAAATCACAACCAAACCTAATCAAGTTGCAAAAAAGGGGGAGCACTAATCTCATATTGATGTGGTAATAAAGCTGAGTTTCCTGAGCTTAGAAAGGAACTCTTCACTTCAAGGCGTGACATGCCTTTGGACTTTCAAACAAGATTAAAAGCAAAACAAAAGCACCATCGCCAAACAGTTTGCATTTAAAATACTGAAACCTAATCTATACGATTTTATAATGATTCGGCTTGTTCAAACCGTTCTTTGACAAGTATTTGAAGCACCAAATCACTATTTCAATTAGACAATTTTGATTCGATTTTTTCTTATTTCAACTTTTCACCTCCCAAGTATCTTGATCATGTCACCATTTGCGTACAAGGCATGAGTTCAATCTGCTTCTGGATAGAGTAGTCTGTTAGGAATATTGGGCCTAACTCCACCTAATAAAATCGGCTTATTAGGGGAGGATTGCCCTCACCTTATTAAGTGGATCATTTATATTTTCCCAAATAATATGGGATTCTAATACGCCCCCTCACGCACAGCGTGGAC